GAAAGACCTCCCTGTAGTTTTTTGTTACACGAGTTACTACAGTGCTCGACACTTAAAACCCGTTCACAGTCTTGCGACCTCTTAGAACTGGGTTCCTGGAAACCTCTTACAACGAGAGGACACACTGGCGCCATCCATTGGGTAGCAGTGTAAACTTGGCCTCCGGCATATTTTCTATTTCTCTCGCGCATTATCCTTTCTTTCTTGGCTCGAAAAACATTTTGTCAGCATTATAAACGAGCCTTTCTTATAGGTATTACGCACATTTGACCTCGGAAATCCCGCAAAACCTTCGCTCTTGTGAAATGCAGTTCCAGGGTCACCGCGTAGATGGCGCCAGAATGCCAGAGTGTTCCCTCGTCCTAAGAAATATCAAGAGGCTTCAACAGGGCTCGTCTCTCTCGGTCGTACTCGGTTGCAGGAGTGTGAACGGGCCTTTATCCTTTCACAGAGCTCAGAGTTCTGACGTCCTGCCCGTTTTCGTCTCCTCCTCTCCCTCGCTTTTTCGGCGCATAGGAAAGGAAGACCAAAAAGCCATTCCAGAACCCCGTGTCTGAACAACCAAAGAAACTTTACGACGTGAACCCCTATCGCCGTTTCCCTCGCGATTTCCAACAGCCAGACTAGGAAAGTCCTTCGGAGTTTAGTAGCCGGGCCAAGTGCAGCACGACTTCTCTCTCGTCGTTGACCCGAGCGCGAATTAAAATCATGAACGCGAGAAAACAAGAACAAACGCACGCTCGGCGCGGCGAATCGCAGCTCAAACGATGCGGCACCGGGGGCGGCTGGGCGCGTGCGGCTTGCTTTCACGCTCCCCGGGAGGGAGGCGAGAAGCCTCGGCAGGATGTAGGACTGCGCGAGCGGGAAAGCACAGGCCACAGTCACGCAGAAGAGAGAGAGGCGAAGGGGTGGACACGTGCGAGCATTTATACGCGCAAGAACGTGCGCGCCGCGCGCTGAGATGCTAACGGTGCGCGGCCCCAGCGTCTTTGTTTGCATAGCCAAGGTCCCCGGCGGTCAACAGGTGTTTTCATGGGCAATTATCGTCGCCCACTTTACAGTTATTCGGTTTTCCTGGCGTGATGTTCGTCGAACCAATGAAGGAGTGGGCGACGCCCTACGAAAAACCTCGCGCGCACACTTGTATCTCCGTTTTTTTGTTTTTTTTCCTTTTACGAGAAGACGCGAAGATTCTCGTGGCTTTCACTGAGGACTCAAAAGTGAGGAAAAACATCTAAAGAAAGTACAGCATTTTATTTTTGGTTTTTCGAAGCTACCTAGGCGTCATTTAGAGTTCCAGTGTTGGCTTCTCGAGCAATTTCGTGCCGGTGCGATCGTTTTTGTCGTTCGCAAGGGGAGTGGCGTTATCGTTTTTGGCAGCACTTGGGATGCGCTGTTGTCAAGCGAAGTCGTGGGGGGCAACCACGGAACAATGGGAACTTTCCCGAACAATGGGATTCGTGCTCCACGCGGCCCAGGTAGCGTAAGGGGAAGTCAGTCCGTGTTCTTTAAGCATCACTATCATGATTTGGCACACATCTAACCGCCACGTTATTGCGTAAATGTTATGCTTTAGTCAGCTCGGCGGCGTAAGTTTAATCCCTCTGAATTTATTTTAATAGCAGACATACCCGTTGATGCCAAGAGTAATGTCCCGAGCCAGCTTACCTTGACAACTGGTATATTTTTTTGTGAATATTATTTTATCAATTTGCGTGTTCTTAAGAAATATAATCGTACCTTTTTTCCCAGACGAACATAACACTGGCTGCACGAAACCGTTGATTACTAAAACTTTCTTCAAGATATAAAAGCTTTAAACGGACAGGTACTATTATCTTCTCCAGAGGCGAGGCTCACCATGCACACATTTAATCAACTCTGACGAGAGGCATGACAGAGAAACACCTTGTTGGCGACCAGTAGCAGCTTCAGCGGTACTGGCAAGTAACAAGCCCGTGTGGATGTTTCCCATTTGTGACAATGGAATCTCACAAGGGGAAATACATGTTAATGTTGATTCTAGCGACATGTCGAAGTGCACACTGAAATGAATTCTCGTACTAGACAAACATTCAACTAACTTTGTTCACAGATGTGCAAAATACTTCTCCGTAAGTAACGATCTTTCGTTTCAACGTCTTCATCATGTAAAGAAGATACACTTTTGTGAACAAGCGAACTGCTGAAGATCACATCAGGTTGCCAGGAAACTGCTTTTGTTCTGTCGGCACGCAGTGTCGGTGGTTTGTTCGGTTAGTGGGTCTCGGTCGGGAGCAGCTGCGTGCAGCGCTGTGGGAGCTGTGGAGTATTATAGGCCTACTTCGGAGATTAAGCCAGAAAGATGGCGTGGCAATGCGTGACGTAAAGAAATGGCGTCACTGGAGCGTTACGTGACCCCCCGGTTGATGCTGTGCAAATAGAAAATGCCGTGGAAATGTGTCCGCAACGTAAACAAGAATGAGGAGCACTGCAAGTTTTATTGGTAAAAAAAGTTAAAGCAAACCGGCTACTTTTGAAAATGGGCGTAGCTTCGGAACGTTAATTGACTTATATAATTATTCATGGAATAGTCATAAAACAGTTAATAACGGCAGCGTTAAGCTTTGCTCTTACACATAAATAATGCATACCGTTTCATTATAAATATAACTTTTAATTAATATAACTAAACATAATACGCCGTCAGTTTATGAAGAAAGCACAGCAAGCAAAGTATGAATAAATACAAGCAAAAGAAAAGGGTAATTTCATAAACGTTTGGTTAGGTAATATTCACCGTCGAAACCGCACGGGTCAAAACAGCAGCAAAAAAATATATATATATATTTTTTTATACAATCGGGACGTGTATCGAAAAAAGAATGAACCAAAACACCCCAAACTTTGTTTTGGCTGCTGCTCACACGTAATCACATTTCATTTAGAAAAATAAATACCATGCATAAATCGAACCAGTTTTGGGAAGTAAACAGACGAGGCTCTTTATATGAGCTATTTATTTAGATGTGACTTTTATTGTTCTTTCTTTGCTCAGGCCTAATATATTACCTCGGTACTAAGTACGGCAGTCCCTCATTGCTATCGACGCATTAGCCGAATTTCGTATCGCACGTAAATCTACAAACAAGGTAGGTAAGCTGATGTGAGTCGGAATGCATCTGTCACCACCCGAAATTTATGGCAGCGTTGGGCTGTTAACAGCTTAGGCCCAATTGAGTCGTGCTCGGTATGCAGATAATTTTTCTTTTCGCGGTTTTTATCTGAGGCTTATAACTGGCCTGCGCGCAGCAAGTTGCGATGGATGGACAGATACAAACCCAGCAGTTCAAGGGAGAGTGTTTTGAAATATGTGCCGAAATATGTGCTCACAGCGTGCACAGATAAGAAGATGTTCGAAATCAAGGGGGAGCCCCAAGGGGTTGTTCCTTATTTACAAAAACATTAGCGAACGAAAAAATATTGGAAAAAAAAAGTACGTTCGCATTATGTCTGACAGTTTGTTGATTGCGGTGAATGGCGTTGTTGAACAATCAAAACAAAAATTCATAATACGATGAGTTATAATGCGAGAAATACTGCTCGACATTCTGTACCATGGGCTCTCATCCGCTAACAACTGATTACACTCGAGCACAAAAAGAAATAAAGAGGTACTCGATCAAAAAACACGCAATAACACACACACGCACGCACACACACAGGCACGCACGCACGCATGCACACGCACACGCATGCACACGCACACACACGCGCGCTGAAGCGCGCACATTTAAAAGAAGAAGCAATCAGACACAACCCAAACAAACGCACGTAAACACATAAGGCCGAACAAAAGCAATGAACGTACATTCACGCGCACAGTCACGGAGAACCGTTCGCACGGTTGGATATTAACGGATGCAAACAAGGACACGCAGGTTATAGGCACACAGTGACGCTCTTACATCGTCGCCAGTCGCTTCTTTCTTTGCATTTCACAGGTCGCCTGAAAGGTAAACAAAGGCGCCGTCGTTTTCTCGCAAGTTGTTTCTAATGGGTGCTCGCCGTGCTTGAGTGGCGACTTGTTTCCCCAGCGTCCGAGGACCCACGGACCCAGCGGCCTCCCCCGGGAGCGCCATACAAAACGCTGCAATCGGCGGTCGCTATTCTGCTCCTCTTACAGTGCCGGTGCCTACCGCCCTCTATGAACCCGAAACGGAACCTCCGCCGACCGACGGATCAGGTAGCCGCTTCCTCTTTGCCTTCTCTCTTTCTCTCCCCCTGTTCCTCTCTTTGAATTTCTTGTTCTGTTTGGAAGGAAGGGAATGAGAAAAGATTCTCTTTCTCTCCTAACGCGTCGTCCTGTGTACTAGCACGCATTGATTCATCACGAAACATTAAAGAAAAAAAGATATAATTTAATGATGATATGTTTTATACAGATGTTGGCATCGCCTGTGTGTTGCAAGTTACCCGATGACAATTAATTAAAAATATGTGAATGTAGGGACCCCTTAAGCTGTACGAATGCATACTAAGAACACACCGTTCGCCTAGGTCGGCGCTGTTACACGACTCTACTAAGATGACATGGCTAGATTGTTCCCGTGTACGTGTTCGGGATAATTAAGCTTTTTTGTAGTAGCAAATTAAGCATTAAAAAAGACAATTGAAATTATTAGAGCACAATTATTAGAACAATTATTAGAGCAAATTCATCATGCGTTCAAGGCAGTGGACTAAAGGAGAGGTGATAAAATATAAAATAAGAACATGCAAGCAGCATAAAGTGCTAGTCTTGGCAACTGAAATGAAATTGACCATTCGTACATAAGACAGGCGCTTCACACCCCCTCTCCTCTACTCTCAAAATAAAAACGACCTTAGGAACGGCTGAAAGGTTGCGATCTTTATTCCGTGTTACGCAAAGTAAAAAAGCGTAGGTTCCGAGCCGGAATTTAAACACAGAGCTTGGAATCTGTTCGCTGACGTCTGCCCGACCCCTCGCAGGCTGCTACATGGACGGACGGCATTACGCGGAGGGCGCTCGCATGCCGCGCGACCCCAAGAAGCCCTGCGAGGTCTGCTACTGCATCCGGAACAGCAGCGCATGCGTACTCCAGGACTGCGAGCTGCACGTGGACGGATGCTTCCCGGTGTTCTCGCAGCCCAGCTGCTGCCCTTCCAGATACAACTGCAGTAAGTGCTGGGTCCTTCGCTCCCGTCTCTATCTTCTGACGCCTTTGCAACGGTAATTGCAGACGCGTTCCGATAGCAAGGGCGTAGTGTGGAAGTTTCGGTCTCACCTAAAAGAGCCAAACAGAGACCACGGAGTGAGCGAGCGTGTTGCGAAAATGGTCGGCCAGGTCTCGTGTTCTCATTGCTTGAACGGGAGTTCCAGTCGAATGCTTACGCAGAACTCGAGTCCAATTTGTGGCGCGCAACGCGGCTTTTTTAGCACTATGCCAATAATAATAATTGCGGTTGTGCGGATATTTAGACAGCGTGTAGTTGATGGCAAAGTCTTGTAAGCACAGAATATGTGATAGGCCTTCCGCTTATCGGCGTCCGTCTGCGGCGTCCTTGGTAAGGCTCTTCTTTTTAATTCTGCCATTGCTTTAGTACTTTATAAGCTCGCCTCTACGATCTTCCACCGAAGAAGAGAGTGGCGTCTGGACGGCACCGCCTCGCTACAAAACAAGTGTGTCTAATATTTGCTCCAATTGGTGACAAACGCGGTGAATGGCGCAGTATTACAAACCCACATCCTTTCAAGGCCGCGAGTCTAGATTTATTTATTTATTCCGCTTAATGTGCCTATAAACAGCTCGAGGCCTTACTCGTGTGCACCATATTACAATAAGATCTATGAAGATCCATTATTTTGCTCATTCATAATACCGTTACAGACTGACTTACTTTCAAGGCCGCCAAGCGCGCGACCGCGTGTGGGCGTGCGGCCTTAACTCGAACGCCGCGCGAAAGTGTATTTCTTCGCGTCCGGAGCAAACGCCGTCCTTCGCCAGTTCAGCAATAAAATAATCAAAAAGAAATAAGTGCCTCGCTATAGTCGGTGACAGGTCAAGAAGGAAGTGGAAGCCCCTCCCACCTCTTTCCAGTTTAGTAGAGCGAACGCTGGAGAGGAGGTCGCCTCCTCTCCACCGTTCGCTCTGCCAAAGGGGAGAGAGGTGGGAGGGGCTTCCACTTCGTTCTTGACCCGTCACCGACTATAGTTCCGTCGGTAAAGCATTTGGCTCACAATCTCAAGCTGGTGAGTTCAAATTCTGCCGGAGGACTGAAGTCTTTTTAAATGGTTTCCTGAGCACGTAACGCTTTCGGTGTCGGTTTTTCATTCCAGCCAGACAAACGTTACACCCGAAACGTTACAGATCTCCATGAAAATCGGGTGTTAGAACAGATTCCGTGTTAAGCGCCTTCGCTTGGCTTCGCACAATCGATTTAGGGAACGAGTTGCGGGTTTAGTTCGAACGCTAGATGTATTTACGCCTATAGCCCCAACGCCCCGAAATTGCCTGCGCTAATAATGGCAGGCTCATAAATTCAAAACCGAAGTAATCCAGTAGCAACAAACTGCATGTCGAGTAATAAAATGAGAGGCGCGCTCTGTTCGTCAAATCCACTTCGCCGCAGTACTCCGGAGTAAAAGGAGGACCCCGCTTTACGGATACACTCTTCCGCTATCCGGACGGAGTTTCCGAATAGAGAACTTAAGACATAGAATAAACTGCACTTTACCGACAGCTTAAGAAACGCAGGGCCTGACCTATTAGGTTCACGCTTCTAGTTTATCTTCGGCGTTCTTATCAGCTAATGCGGCAATCTCACTTGCGGAGCCATCAGAAGATGCTTGGAACTCGACTAGCTCTGCGTTCTTTAAGCTGTCCTGGACTCTAAATAAACAACAACAAAAAAATCTACATGCAAGGTGTCCCCTAAAAAAAATTACAATGTATTTTTCCCAGCAAAAAAACAAACAAAAACAAAAAAAAAACTACGCATTGGTTAGCGTTTACTTTCCGCCCAAATGTAGTGGTAGCGGTTCGACCCAGATGCCAAAGTTTCAAAACCAACCGTTTATCTCAATTAGCAGCTAGAATTAATTTTCTTACAATTCGATGAAAAAATGTAGCAGGTTTTACCCCCCTTTTTTTTTCTTGGTAAACAGGCGCCACTGAGCTTTATGTATTCGAGAACTCCGTAGGCATCTATCTGCCCGTTGAAATTTTCAGAGGCTTACTTCTAACTCTTGAATAAGATAGTCTCAAGCTCTGAAAGATTGTGGCTCTGAAATGCGGTCTATTTTTGCGCCGAAAAAGCACTGCATTTATTTTCTTGGCTGGGGGGGGGGGACAAGCTATATATATATATATATATATATATATATATATATATATATATATATATATATATATATATATATATATATATATATATATATATATATATATATATATATATATATATATATATATATATATATATATAGATATATATATATATATATATATATAGATATATATATATATATACATATATACATATATATTATGCCTGCCCCCCTCCCCCCCCCCCCCAAGCAAAAACAAAACAAACAACAACAACAACAAAATACAGTGTTTTTCCGCATCAAAAATACACAACACATCCCCAAACGCTCATTCTCTGACTAAATACCGGATGTTTCCGGTTTCAGCAAAGACTGACGAAAATTCCTGAAATTAGTGTGGAGCAGGTACAAGGTTAAAACCCTGATAGGAGACGGAAAGATCGCGCTTCCGCCTTTTCGCAACTGTTAGCCTGCTCCACGAGTGGTGACTTTAGCGCACTAGTACGCTTCTCACGCGTTAAAAGTCTTTCGGAAAATTACTGATATAATGGTTTTCGATGAACCTCTGCAAGTTTCTTATTGGAGTCATTTGTATAATTTCACTAGTTAAAAAGTTAATTACGTTTTCATAATTAATAAGCGAACTCATTAATAAGTATCCCGCATATTCTGATGTCCGCCACCACTAGTAATCCGGTCCCGAGAAAATAACCTTTTTACCTCAAATACACTATATTTTTGGAATTATGGTCAGTACTCAGTCTTCACATATGATTACATTATAATATTATTTGAATTAACGAGAGTGTTAACCTAGAAAAATCAGCACATTCGCTGTGAGGCAGTATTGAAGAGGTTCCATTGCGAATATTTCGTCGTATCCAAGCTTTGCTACGAAACCTAATATATTTTTCTTTTCTATCATCAGGCAAAGAAGCCGCCACAACGGTTCCTCCCGGTTTGATTCCAACAGAAGCTCCAGATACAGGTGAGTGCCTGAAAGGGCAACAAACGAATACTTGCCGCTATTCTCACTTATTGGGCAGAATAAAACGAGTTACGCTACTAGACTGCTTGCATATTATGTTATATCATAGCTCTAAATTAAGTAATGAAAGGTTATCAAAATCTTCTTCCATAAAGTTAAAAAAGCAGTAAAGAAAATTTAAGGTGGACGCTGATATAAGAAGCTTCGATAAAAATGAGATGAGTTGTAAAATTGACACTAAAATAAATCTGAGCAACGCATAATTTTTAACGAATAGATTGAGGATTCGAGCAATAATATTATAAATTTTAGTACTAAAAACACGACTTTCTCAAATAGTACCTATACGAATCCCAGAAGACATAAATCCTTATTTTAGGATGTCAGAGCGCTACTAGTAATTATTTATTTTAATAATGCTAACGCTATTTTTCGTTTTTATTGATTGGTTTTGTTAAGTATTAACATTTTCTTTTATATGTAACATTCAATGTTGCAGGCGTTACTGAAAAAAAAAAGAAAGGAACGAAATACGTTACTCGTTACTTGCAAGTGAATGTAACGCGTTAAAGTTTTACGTTACTTCAATATAACAGGAACGCGTTGCCGAAACCATTGCCGATAAAATTTAACGCACGTTACTTTTGCGTTACTTTTTTAAATTATAAATTATGTCGTTGTACCATTTTGACGTTTCGAGCATGTATAAGCGCCATATTAAAAAAAAAAAAAACAGCAAAAAAACATTATGTTACAATTGAAAACGAGCGTGTTGGTTAATAGATACAAAACTTTAAAGTATAAAACATTGAGGACGAGGACGGGAACAGGACATCTTTCATCCCTCATGAAACAGGACATCTTTCAGCCTTTGAAAGATGTCCTGTTCCTTCTTTATTTTGTTTCGCGGGTTTGCCGCGTAGGGGGCAGAGATAAAGGCGTGGTGCCTGACAAAGCCTCTGCCCCCTAAAGTCCAGCAGCTCAAAGCAGTTACATAATAACAGACTCTACAAAACATCCTACAGTTAAAATAAAACAACAGAAACAAGTCAAAGAAACAAGAAGAATAGACACTATATTCATTTGCTAAAAAATACCTCTCTAAACGAGTGTTGGTCCTAAGAAACCAAAAACAGTAACAACAAACAGTAACAACAAAAAACTAGTATGCAATCTTGTGTTCCTTCGACATATCAGCATCACAAGCAAGTTCACATGAAGGAATACCATGAAAACAAATCTTTGAAATTAGCTATATCTAGCGATTGTATTCTTGGTGAAATACACTATCCAAATGAGAATGCGATTTCACTGCCAACCAGGAAACTTCTACAATCCCTTTTAAAAGCAGGTAACGTGTTGTTAAAGTTAATGTTAAAGTCCGTTCTATTTAGAGTTTTAGTTGTTTGAAAAATAAAAGTTTGTTGACCATAGTTGGTTTTTATGACCGGCATCCTTCGCTTCGGATTTCTAATCGGATATGCACTAAGGCTGTTCGCTGGTGTGGTGTAAAGGACGGAACTTTCCCGTCCTCGTCCTCAATGTTTTATACTTTGAAGTTTTGTAAAACATTATGTCCATGCAGAAACTGAAAATAATTACTCTATTTTTTATGTTTTACCATAAATACTCAAGAAAAATCGCAAAACAACTTAAAATCTTTTATAGTCACATAGCTTGGCGCTTAAAAACACTAAAAACATTGAAGTGTAATTTTTTTAAGTCTTGGGGACAAAAGTAACGAGTAACGTAACTCTGTTACTCGTTACTAGAAATAAGAAACTTAAACGCGTTACCCGTTACTGTTTTGTAAATATGACGAGCGCGTTACACGTTACCGAAAACAATTGACGCGTTACCGGTGACGACGTTACTAGTCGCCAGTTACCGCCAACTCTAAATTGGGGGTTCGAAAATGTAAAGGAAGAAGTTAAATTTTACTCTAATCGTCGCCCGTATTTATTCCAGGAAATTCACAACAAATACTAAGACAACCTTTTTTTTCCACGGGGGAAGGGGGTAGGGTGGGAGGGGGAGGGAGGGGAGGGGAGGCGGGAGTGTTGGCAATGCCGTATAAGCGAGGATTGAGAGCGCGCCATCTCCTCTGCCAGCGTCCCTCCAATAATGGCCTCCTTTGCATCCAGGATGCTTGCACGACGGACAGCTCTACGACGACGGCGCCCCGATCCCGTCGGGCGAGGCGTGCAAACGCTGCTACTGCATGCGCAACGAAGTGGTCTGCGCCGTCAACGAGTGCAAGGCGCCGTCCGACGGATGCGTCGCCATGCCGATCGAGCCGGGACACTGCTGTCCGCAGCGATACGAGTGCCGTGAGTACCGTCTCCTTTGAACTCGAAACCGTCAAGCAATAGTGGGTGCGAATTCCCTGTACATCTCCTAGTGGGACACGGAAATACTAGCAGGTGACAACCAGAGTCCAGAGACGTGATTCTGCACGTGACATTTTCAAAATAAGTGCAGAAACTTGCCCGGACGTGATTGTTCACTTAACATATAGCAAGGTTGCAGGCGAGCTGGTTTAAGATTGACATAACAAACCCTAGAGGGAGGAAAATGGTAAACCGACAAGCACAGAACTTCACACGCCGTTGAAACTTTATTGTACCAAGACCTCTTCAAATACGCCAACCGATGTATGCAGCTAGACATAACACATGAAAGGAATCTTCGAGAAACTAGAACCTACGAGCAAAAGAATATGACAACGCCAAAGCACTGTAATTCGTTCACGTTATTGTTATCTGGCCGACTACAAACGATGCCGAGCTTGTAATGACCGAGTTGGTCTCACAAATTGAACGTGAGTTTACGCCAGTGATCTGGGTGCTCTCGGTGACAAATAAAAATTGTCAACGAATATTTGTGTTCCCGTGTCCAAAATAGACCAACTTTGAAATGTTCGGACACTAGCAAATGATGCGTGCATTGCCAGCCGAGGCTACTGGCTGCGAAATATTGGCGGCGCGGGCCGACGAGGGAATTTCTGACAGCTTGATGGGGTTACACGTTGAAGAGGTTAACCTTGCTTGATTTTCTCGAGTATTTTTCTCATTAAAAATAGCGCACGCAGTTTAAAGCGATCGCGCGTCTTATATATCAGATACATTAGTAAAAACGTTTCACCAGTATTTAGCGAGACTGGAAAAGATCTTCTGTTGTCCTTCCTAGGACTAGATTTTTCTTAGAAAAAACTTTCAGCCTTTCTACTGTGGTGAAGAAGGAAGACCAGCGGAGCTGTACGATGGAAAGTAATGACCCGCCGCAAGTCGGCAAGCTAGATTGAAAACGCTGCCGCCATCTATGAGTGACGGCAGCAACCAATTACGTGGCTTGCCGCCGTCGCTCATAGATAGTGGTAGGTGTCTAAAGTTTGGTGTCTACATTTCTTTACGGGGGACAGAATCCTGGGGACACTAGCCTTTAGCAGCTCCGCTGTAAAATTATTAGGGGCAGTCTATAGAAATCCTATCAACATTTTAACGACTCTTTCAACTTCCTATCCAGTCACGCCGTATTGACAGTTTTCAAAATATTGTGTGGAGACTTTCTTTCAATCGTAGAGTACAGACGCTCTAAGTGCTATAGAATTTCTTTCGCTGTGAATTATAACGATTTCTGTCGCCATAAAATTTCTATTCAGTAGACTTGATAGAATAATAAAATGCAATGCAGAGAAGCGACACCACACCCCGTTGAAACCTGCTTGCGCAGGCTGCTTTTCTGACTGTGTCAAATAAATATCGCCTGTAGCAACGCTTTATATCTGGAGTACAGTTCATTAACCTTTAGAAACCACTTTTTGTAATTAATTATTGATAAAAAAAAATTACATATTTCTAACACTTCTGAGGCGATCCTCGTTCAAATCGTTGCCTCTCAAGTATAGGATATATATGGCGTTGGAGCAGACAACACGACTGAATTACTAGCGTTATGAGGACTCCGTGACGTGTGTATTTGTGGTGCCTGCGTATGTGGACACGGTAAGTGGCGAGTGCATGTTTTTATGGATGTACTGCGACAAACGCACAAGTAATGTTCAGCATTTCTTTTTGTCTCGAGTAACTGGCCAATTGTCTATTAAAAGGGGAAGACGAGTTGTTAGTCTTTACCTTTTTCAATGCAGCTTCTGTCGCATCAAAATTGGGGTGTGTGCATGTTTATACAACTTAGAACTTAGTCTGCCTCATCGAGCGACTTGTTTCCCAGCTGTAGATGAGAAATTTAGCCGGTGCAGTACATCCTCAAGCCTGAGGTGTTTAATGTGCACCACGCAGTAGTGATACACGATTGCACACCGGTACGTTGCTCATCCAGATCGAAACGGGCAGGGGTGGGGATTGAACCCAGGATCCCTGGGTTCTGCAGCGCGTGGTTTCGCTCCACGTGCTCTGAGCTGGTGTGCGCTAGCCTACTCGATCACCGACCCCCGCCAGCTTCTATCCAATCCCTTTACACCATGTTTTTTTTGTTTTTTTTTTAAGTTTACAAAAAGAAAACGCCAGAAAACTAAAATTAGTGGAAAGAAAATTGCATATCTTTTACAATATCTACAGCCTCTATACTCTACTGTTTATAGAGATTCTGTAGAAATTGAATACACATTTTTGTGAGAGGATTGTCGTGTTCGTTTTTGCAATGTTTTAATACGCGTCAAAAATTTGTTCCGCATGACACCAGAAAGCACGAATGTCAGGATCACGCTATTTATTCTTTATTTAGATGCGTAATCTACTGAAGGTTATTAATACACATATGCCGTTTCTTTACCAAAGAAATGTATAGGTATAATTATGAATGATAAACCTTTTAAAGAATTGCGGAATTGAGTGTGACCATGTGTAGGAATAACAAAATAAAGAAAACTACTTGATTGTATGTCGCATATGACGAATTCAATTAAATGTATGCCTTGAAACAGGCTTAGCTGAATAAATAGTACAAAAGTCATGCTAATCACACCTTTAACGCACGAATACTTTACGCGTTGATTAACACGATCACCAAGCTCACTCTCGGGCTAGTTCAAACATTTGGGTTTGAGACCGTCTGTGTTATGGCCGCGTCTTGTTGTTTATGACAAGCTCAAACGCAAATATCTGAACAATCCTCTATGCAAAAGCTGATGACAGTTAAGACTGCAAACACCGACAAAAAATGACTTCACGCCCATTTGACCGCACCTCTTGCAGCCTCCGACATGACAACGCTAGCACCCGGAGAGACGACCCTGACGCCGTACGGCACAACGCCAGCGCCGCCGTCTACCGCGACGTTGGAGCCCGTCGAGGGGCGGAAGAAGACGCCGGAACCGGAAACGGCGACCACGGGAACAGTCGTCCCGTACACGACCACCATGCAGCCCGTCGTATTCCCCTCAGGAATACCAGGAGAAGGTAAATGACCACGTCTGTGCCATGAGTGTTTGACATACAGTCACAGTTATTATAGACAGCGCAAAACAAAAATTCACACGAAGTCCTGCCAGCAACAATGGCTACATTAAGATCAGAGAAGTACAAGTCAGATTAGTTTTACTAGCAATATGCCTCTTCTGTCAGAGAAGCGTGTTATATGAAAGCCGGTGGGATAAATGGGCACGAATTAAACTACCATCACTATGTGAATGTTGTTGTCCTCTCAGATACGTTACACACCTTTAGAGTTATGACACAAGAGAGAGGAGCGCGATCCGAGTACAATCCGATGACCAAAACCAAGTTGAATTTTCTCATGAGCGTGAATGGGGCATATTCACAAGCTGCGATACAAGGCCTCACAAGAGCTTGTGGGCTCTTTCAGGGCGCTGCCGATTTGAAGACGCCATCTACATGCCAGGAGACGAAATCGTATCGCAAGACCCATGTAACACAAACTGTACTTGCGCCAACAGTTTGGTTAGCTGCGACCAGGTCATGTGCCACGAACCGGAGCAAGACATCACAGGATGTCAGGCAGTACATCCCGAAGGCGCGTGCTGCCCTCATTACGATTGCCGTAAGTTTTCTCGTGTTTTTTGTAAAAATTTAATTTATTGCCCACAATGTACCATAGTGCCTTGTGGACATTTTTGTAGGGGTTGGTACATGGATTTAGGATAGACAGGAAAAAACCAATCTCCACCGCCGTTCATGTTTGGGTGCTTTAATTTATCAAAATAACTTTGACTGTAAGAAACACTCGTCTGTGCATCGTGTATTGTTTTTTTTTTCTATCGGAAAACACATTATAAGCTTGCATTAAAGTAGTCTGACAAAATACTTTATATGAATCTGTCTTGTTCTTATTGGAAGTGCACTCACAATATATTTGAAATCTCGTGTTCTTGTTTACCCCATTCTTGGTTTTTTTTTTGTATTTCAATACCCTTGGTGCGTATGTGATCATTTTACCAACGCACTAAACTTTTTAAACAAAACGTTTGTAGTAGATGTACTAATAATATGATTTTGTTGCAGCCACAACTGCAGCTCCGGAGGTATCTACAGGCACTCTGGCTTCCACTGTTGGAAAAGGTGCGTCCGTGTCCTGGATAGTTGTCCTTCGACGTTATCTTTATCATCATGATGTCACAAAAAAAAATCTTTCCTTTTGCCTCACCGTTGCAGCTACTTCATTAACTTCAGTTAGGCATCTTTACTGCACGAGCTTTACATATCAAGGTTGCTGCCCACGTGAATCTTAATTTTGTCGATGTAGCGTGCTTGTCATTCTGATTGTGCAAATTAGAAGCACATGCTGTCATTTGTGAAATGGTGGCTGCTGCTCTTAAAATCCATCAGATTTATTGAGATATCTTGCCCACGGGACGTTATAAGATACCATTATGTATAATTGAATACGTCTGTTTTTATCATTGTTTACTGAATCTTATCTTCCAAACTCACAGAGGTGTCTGAACAGCCGACATCGACAGGTCCAACAGAGCTGCCTTCTGAAACAACAAAGATACCTGAGACAGCAGCTACTGGAGAATCCACTACCGTAACCACGGAGGCTGTGACAACTCCTGTTGAGGAGGCTACAACGCTGAAAACCACACCGGAGGGTACCACGACCTTCCTCACAACCGAGGGCGAACATGTCACGACAGAACCTACAGGTGTTGAAACAATCTCAACAGAAAAAACTACAACGGCAACTCCGGAAGTGAGTGAAACAGGAACTTCTGTGATACCAGAGGTAACCACAGGAACAAAGAAACCAGAAACCGAACGGGAACGCGAAGAAGGTGAGACCACAAGCCCGGGGGCGGTGACCTCTGTTGGAACTGAGCAGCCCCAAGTCACAACAGAATCAGCGGAAGTCACTTCAGAGGAAGCTTCATCTGCAGCACCTTCGACAACGGAAGCGGTGACAGCTTCTGGTGCTCCGAAAGTTACCATTGAGGAGGTTTTCACGACAAAGGGTTCCACCACAGTAGAAGAAATGACAACAGTTGCGGAGGGCGTAACGACGGAAAAATCCGAAGCTCCGAGTTTCTATGGTACTACAGAAAGCACGCCAGAGAGTTCAGCTGAACCCGGAGCTACAGCTGAAGTTACCACAGGCTTTTCAGTCACGCCCGTTGTCACCACAGAGCTACCAGAGGCTAGCACGGTACCCAAAACTACTCAAGAAACCACTAAGCCGGATGTTACGGCCGGAACTACTACAAGTCCAGCTGTTACAGAGGCCGAAGTGACAGAATCTGTGACGACAGCTAAGGCAGTTACTCCGACAGAGTCGACAACACGCCCCACGCCTGTATCAACTACAGAAGGAATTACTACAGAAAAAGTTACAGAGACAACCGAATTCATTTCAACCACTCCAGCAGTCTCAGAGATTGGTCGAGAAGACCTCACTACAGCTGTACCAACGCAAGAGGTAACGACTGAGGTCTCAGCGGCGACAAGCCCCGAGGTTAGCACAACAAAAGCGCCCGAGATCACGACAGAGATTTCAGAAGCGACAACTGTGACGGGTCCCAAAGTGACTAGTACCACAGTTGTATCAGCACCAGCGTACAAGGACAGAACTACAGAGGAGCCCGAGGTCACAACTGTAATTGGTAAAGAGACCGCAAGCACTGCTGTCCCAACTGTAACTACGACCAAGGTATCACCCACGGAGGTCACCGAAGTCACAACTGTGACAAGTGCAGAAACAACTGCTTCAGTCTCACTACCTACATCTACGCCCGTGGCAACTACGGAAGCTCCTGAAACAACACCAGTGACAGGGGCTGAGGCTACTAGTACTGGAATACCTTCTGTACCAACGACTAAGTCCGTAACATCTGGAGCTCCAGAAGTCACGACCGTGATGGGTGCTGAAACTGCAAGTACGGCAGTACCGTCTGTACAGACAACAAAGGTACCAACAGCAGAGACTCCTGAATCTACCACAACAATTAGTACTGAGACACCTGCCACAGCGGTACCGACTGTACCCACGGCAAAGGAGGCCACAACGGAGCCTCCTGAACACACAACAGTGATCGGTCTTGAGACCCCTAGCACAGCAGTACCATCTGTACCGACAACTAAGGAGCCAACAACAGGAGTTTCTGAAGCAACAACAGGAGTCCCTGAAGCAACATCAGGAGTTCCTGAAGCAACAACAGGAGTTCCTGAAGCAACAACAGGAGTTCCTGAAGCAACAACAGGAGTTCCTGAGGCAACACCAGGAGCTTCTGAAGCAACAACAGGAGCTTCTGAAGCAACAACAGTGACAGCTCCTGAAACCGCTAGTACCGGAGTACCGTCTGCGGAGACAACTAGAGAGGTTACTACGGAGACTCCGGGCGGTACAACAATGATTGGTCCCGAGACTGCTAGTACAGCTATGCCGTCCGCACCGACAACTGAAGTGGCGACTAAGGAGGCTCCGGAGCTTACAACGATGGTGGCTCCTAAAACTGCTAGCACAGTAGTACCGTCCGAACCAGTAACCAAGGAGGTCACAACTGGGGCTCCTGAGGTAACGACAATGGTCGGTACTGAGACTCCTAGTACTGTAGTACCAACTGCCCCGACGGCAGGGGTGACAACGGAGGCTCATGAAGCTTCTACAGTGATTGGCCCTGAGACTGCTAGTACACCGGTGCCGTCCGTGATGACGACAAAGGAGACAACAGCAGAGGCTGCCGAAGCTACGACTGTTACTGGGGGCCCAGAAGCAGGTCGGGAAGATCTAACAACAGGTGAGCCGACAGTTCCGACCTCCGTGGGCACAAGTACAGGAACCACCAGAAAAGGAGAGACCACAGAACCATCTGTAGTTTCTACAGACGTTGTTACACCCGCCACTCCAGAAACAACGACTAGATATGAAGTAACCAAACTGACGACGGGAGAAATTACAACGGCATCTGGAACACCCGAGGGAATTACGGAAACTTCTGCTACGACAACCGAAAAATTATTCGTTTCCACAGAACCGGCAACTGGTCCTACGGGAGAAATAACAAGCCCTACTCCAGCGACAGGAATTTACACGGAACCGACGAGGACAACAGTGGTTACCGAAGCTGGAACTACAGAGAAAGCTGGTACAACTCCACCAGAGGAGGCAGAAGTAACTACTTCTCAACCGACCACACCAGTGACATTAGAGGTCACAACAGCTGAATCGGTTTCGACAGAAGGAGCACCAGTTGAAAAGACCGAAGCTACGACAGAGGCCGGTGCAACTGAGAAGCCAGAAATCACGACAAGCACAATGGCGACTGAAATTTCTTCGGACAAAACAACTGCCGGAACGTCTGTTTCTCCCGAAGTTACCACTGGCGCGGTTACCACAGAAGGACCGACCACAAAACCAGTTACAAGCACTACTGTGGAACTAACTACAGAAGAAGTTGAAAGCACGCCATATGTAACCGCAGAAGTTACTGAGAGTCCAGCTGTTACGGAAGCTACAGTCTCAGAAAGGGTTACAACTTCAACTGAAGCCGAGGTGACAGAAGGACCACAAGTGACTACAGGGTCTAGGGCTCCGGAAGCTGCACGGGAAGATGATAAGGGTACGACTCCGATTGTACCGTTTTACACAGCAACCACACCGGCTGAAGAGTTCACAACAGCAGAAGGAGCTCCATTTTCAACTGAAGTTCCAACGCCGGAGGAAGCCACGACTCTCTCCGGAGCCACATCTCCACCAGAAGGTACTACGACGAAATTGCCCGCGACGAGCGAAGCTACTGTCAGCACGCCTACGGAAGAAGAGGTGACATCCGTCTCCGAGCGTACAGAAGGTACTACTGCAGCGGTGACAACACCTGAGCTACCTGCAACTGGTGAAGTAACAACATCTGAACCAACAGCTGGTGAGACAACCTTGACCAGCCAACCTGCAACTGGACCAATAACCACAGCAACGCCCTTGGTTACAGGCGAAGTTACCACTGAAATGGTACCTTCTGTCCCAGCAGAAGTCACGACGCCGAAGCAGCCTTCGACTGAAGAGGTGACAACGCCATCAGCACCAGGGACAGAAGAAGTTTCAACATCAGTACCATCTGTTACAACCATGAAAGCAGAAGCGACTAGCGAAGTTACTACACCTCAACCACCTGTAACAGGCGAAGTGACCACGCCGGAGCCATCGGTAACTCCCGAGGGTGCAACACCTGAGCCTTCTGTAACAGGTGAAGTTACCACAAGTGAGCCGGTCTTAACATCAGAGGGCACGACTCCTGAATCTGAAGTATCAGGCGCAGTGACGACGTCTGCGCCAGCCATAACAAGTGAAGTCACCACGCCTCAAACACCGGTGACCGGAGATGTCACCACCCGGGAGCCGTCCGTAACAACCGAGGGTACAACAGTCAAGCCACCTGTAACTGACGAAGTTACCACTATCCAACCAACAAGTCAGATTACCACGAGCAAACCGCCTGAAACTGAAGGTACCACAGTTGGAACGCCCGTAACAGGCGAAGTGACCACGACTCCGTCGGTAACTGGTGAAGCCACCACCCCTGAAACCTCTGTAACGACCGAGCTATCCACGCCAGGGCCATCGGTAAGTGGTGAAGTTAGTACTTCCTCGCCATCTGTAACTGGGGAAGTTACAGTTAGCACCGGCGCACCTGAAGCAACATCAGAACACGTGACATCCTCTACCATAACGGGCACGCCAGAGAAACCCGAGGTTACCACGGCATCAAAGGTACCAGAAGAGGAAAGAGAAGAAGGAGCAACCACTCCACATGTCACGGAAGTGGTTACCGCAGAGAGCACGACGTCAAGGACAACCGAAAGGCCAGAATTGACTACGACGTCCAAACCAACTTATTTCACTTCGCCGGAAACCGCTCCCACCGGAGCGAAGGCTTCTGAGACATCACCTGCCGAGGGTGTAACCACAGAGGCAGTGACGACACCAATTGGCGAGACGACTGTGAAGCCCGAAGTGACAAGTGCGGTGGTAACAACGGAGGTGTTCTACGAGGCAACTACAAAACCAGCTTTGACGGAAGAGCCGAGCGTCGAGCCGACAAAACCGCAGCTGTCGACGGTGCCTCCACTTGTGGAGGAAACTTCCACTCCAGTTTCTGTAAGTCCCACTGAAGCTGAGGTTACGCCTGAAGAAACTGGAGCTACAACCGGAGCGCCCACAGAAAAACCAGAGATCACTGTTATCACCGAAAGCCCAAGAACTAGACCAACAACAATTGGATTTGATTTCTTAGATCACAAAAAGCTACCAACCACTGTCACGCCGGCATCTACGAAAGAGACAGAGGCAACAACCGTAGCACCATCAGAAACAACGGAACACACAGCTGCGACTGAGAGCCCCGGTACTAAACCAACAACAATTGGATTTGATTTCATCGACCACAGAAAGGGACCCACTGTCACGCCTACAGCCGCACCAGAGGAAAAACCGGAAGTTACAACCCCAGTCAAGTACGAAGTTACCGAAACCAAAGAACCTGAATCGGCAACTACCTCGCTGCCAGAGTCTACAACGCCCAGCACAGGCAAGTGGCATCCTATTCACAGGATCCTACATAAAAGCACTGCCCCTATTAGTGAACAATGTGCGCATGCCAAGCAATGCTATGCCCCAAGGCTTTCAAAAGTTTCACTTTTCTTAGCTACACTTCTACAATGAGAAAAATTTATTTCTAAAACAAAATTTTGAAATCCACGAAGCGCAGTTATTGTATGCCCTCGCAGGAACCTTGGTTCGCGTCAATAGAATCTCATGATCGCCAGTTCCTTGTTTTTATTGGCATTTTCTGCTTTCAGGTGTGCCTTTAGCTGCACAGTGTAACCTATCATGCAGTAGAGTTAGACAACTAGAAAAGCACACTTACGCTAGGGACGAGTGATTGTGTTCACGCGTCTTGCTTCGTGATTCGCTTTTCGCCTTTCTTAAACTCCGCAATATGTGGAACAATAACTAAAAGTCGCGACATGCGGTGTTTTTCTTATTTTGATGGGCACTATAATCATTGACAACTTAAAAAAACACAGGCGTAGACGCAAAGCAAGCTGACTTTGTTTCCACTGCACTCGTCGAACGTGTTCGGACACGAACGCCAGACGCCGGCGTTCCGGGTTCTAACGCGCGTCATGAGTGCAGTGACTGCTTCCACTGTACTTTTTGAATGCGTTACAAGGCGGAACGCTGGCGTCCGGCGTTTGGCGATCGCGTCCAAACGCGTTCGACGAGTGCTGTGGAGACAAGAGCTTTGAGTCTGCCCCCTAATCAGTCCAACCAGAGGTCGGCGTTCTGACATTCGCGTGCGGTCTTGTCTCCTCCTCTCCCTCAGTTCCTGCCCGCATAACTAATTCTTCCTCACCCATTTGTGCTTGACTGTTTGATTTTCCCAAGTTTTGCATATCTCAAAATTTGCCCATTGGATTATACGAAGAAAGATCCTGGGGAGAAAAGAAACCCGTGATCTAATGCTCTCCATGGTACAAAACAAAAAAAAAAGTGATTTGTGTGGAAGAACGTCATATACTCTTATCATAAATGTAATTAGATAAAACTGAACTTCTTGCAGGTGTGCCAACGACGGAAGCAGCAATTACGACGACTGCTGTCGAAGAGCTTCCTGTCTCAACGAAAAAAGACGACACCGTCGCGCGCGAAGACAAACCGACAACCCCCGAGGAGGAGGAAGAAGAGGAAGAAGCTGGTGAGAAATCTTCACGTGTTCCCACTCGGTGTCGATACCATTTACAAGCCATCCTTCGTGGCTACAATCACTTGAGTGTTCTGAACAATAGTTGGCCAAGCGACCTTTTGTGTCGGATAAAAACGTAGCATTCTTGCGCCAACTTTGGGGTCGTTTAAGGCGTTTCTAGATCTGAAAATGATGTGCTAATTGTTTCGTGAAATGCTGCTTAAGTACTACTTTGAAAGGACCTCGTAGTTCCTACGTGCGAAATATAAAAAATAAATAACAGTTCTTATTATTGAAGAAAGTTGGTGTTCAAGCATATGTTGCCGTTTTGATATGTCTTGATGCGCTTTGGGACCGGACCAAGCGTATAGCTGGGAAACGTAGAGAAGCATTGGCGTGTTTTTATTTCTGTTTTCTTTTAAACTTGCGCGTGCTGGCGCGTTTGAGTTGATTTCCAAGACCATGCCTTCATTGCGCATTTAGCTTCCGAAACGCTCCATTCAACGAATGATCCACCTATAAAACTCTTCTATGCGTGGACCTTACTGGTCCTTGCGTGACCCTGTCTTTGGGTTAATAAAGCAAGAACGAGCTGACCATTTAACCTAACTTTCGCAAGCCAATCCGAGGCAGTGACAAAACATATTCACAGGTGACATTGTGTGACATTATTGGATTGTTTATTGAGTCGTAACACTTTTTATATAAACAACAACAAAAAAAAAAACAACTTTAAAATATATTCCTGCTCTGAATCTAACACTATGACAATCCTCAAGAATATAAAGAAGAAATCGAAGATTTTGCATATATGCTACAGCCTCCAAAAATATGAAATATTCATTCGCTAACACAGTTTATGCGGTGGTGCTAAGTACACGTAGGCTGTACAAACTTCATTTTTCAAGCAAGCATCGAAGAATGGTTTATTTATTTTTTCACACCAAGCAAGTAAATTCAGCATAGCCGCCAGAAGCTGCAGCGTCAAATAGGTCTTTCATAGTGGTGCATGGAGAGACTACATAGGAACCAATGCACAAAATACCTACGGGTCTAGGAATACCAATTATGGGTTCCTAAGGGACTCGCTAGTATTTATTGAGATTACGTTATTGCAGTCTATAATTCTTCCGGGTAATGTATCAATTTTGGCAGTTGTTCAGCTGAAATATTTTTTACAGCGCTTTGCTTAGAACAGTTGTTAGAGAAAGAAAGAAAGACAGAGAGCAAGAAACGAATATACCAAAATGTTGAGGGCATGCAAAAAAAAAAAAAAAAGATGAAGAATTAGAACTTTAAATGGGTAAATTGAAGTTAACATTTTTATTATTTGAATTGATGTGTCTCAAAATTAAGATCGGTCAACATTTATTTTATATTCTGACCAGTCTTCTAAATTTCCATATAAAGCAGAAACTTTCAAGGGCTTGCAGCATTCAAACGTTTACGATAGCTTTTATAAACATGCCGCTTATATATTTGTTGCACATAGCAATGCATACAGTGTATTTGAGACAGGGGTGGACTAATCTACAGATTTCTGAACTTGCAGCTAAGAATGCCGACCGAGTGCGTTTTGATACAAACAACCCTCAATGTCGTGCATGCACACGGTAGACTAAAACCCCAACTTTGTTCGGAATATCTCGGACGTCCACTCGAGAGATATAATTGGATTGAGAATCTCAACATCAGGAGTCTCTTCAGTGTTACGCAGATAAAACGCAAAGTAACCCTTTTCACCTATTAAAACAAGAACTACCGTATATCCTGCGCCAATCATAAGTCTTCGATAGACGCCCATGCTTGACCGATCGCAGCTTTTGCTTACCTCCTGGGAGTGTAGAATTTTCTATGTGCGGGCTACTATAGCTACCACAATTATATAACTACTACAACTTGAGCGCAGCCAAAAAACTAGTGGTCGCACAAAATTAACCGCCCAGACTGAAGCACAAGGGGACTTCGGCAGATTTACTTTTCTTGATTGGTTCAGCCGGTGTTAACGTGCGCACATGATGGCGATAAACTCCGTGACTGCGATTTTGGCGCAGATTGATTCGTCCTATAGGCATGAGGCATGAGCTGCTCCGAGTTCTGCTCAATCGCGAACCCGGTGAGAGAACAATGAAGCTTGCATGCAGCCAACCGAGTTAGGCGAATTTTAAGCACGCGGCTATATGTCTAGACATGTGACAGAAAATTTGGCCGTTCTTGTCTTTGTGTGCACGCTCACAGAATGCAACGAAATTCTCACAATTAAATTATTTTGAGTTTGCTTAACATTTTTATATACTCTTACAGACTGCTCGCACGAAGGACAAACATTCAAGTTCGGAGATCTGGTGCCCTCCCCTGATCCCTGCAAATACTGCCGGTGTATCTACGGCGAAGTTCTCTGCGCCGAGAAGGTCTGTCTCCCACCAGCCGAAAATTGCATCCCAGGAAAAGTTCCGGAAGGAGAATGTTGCCCCGAGATGTATAACTGCGGTAAGCCAAAATTTCATGCAAAGAAAACCTAGATTATGGTTATGTGAAAAAAAAGAATTGTATGGAAAATTGCTGGGCAATGGACCTTTTCCACATACTGACGGCATCAGGCGGTGGCTGCACGAACTAACAATTGAGGAAGGACCTACCTGCGCTACCAATCGATAATGGAAGCTACGCTACCTGTTTCCTCGCTCTCTAAGCTGTGACGCCTGCCCAACGCGACACTGAAGAGGGGCATCCGTGGCGTCCACCTAAACTTCGTGTTTTTCTTTGCGTCCACTTTCTTTTTTTGTGTAACACAATTATTTATATGCTGCAATTACGTGTTCTACTCGCTGATCCGCAGCCTCCTTCCGAATTTCCTCTATTTTTCGTGCCGACTTCCGCCGCTTGGCATCGGGCGCTCGCGCATGCGCAGAGCGCTTCTCGGAAAAGGTTCATTGTGTTGCATACGCGAAATGTTCTAGCATCACGTGATGTCAGATCAGGCGACGTTAGTTTTTCTAGCTAAATTTAGAGAAGGAACTCAATTACCATATAGGTCACGTGACATGAGGTCACGGGACGTTGATTTACCAGCTAAATTTAGCGGAGAAATTGACGTCACATGACATAATGTCACGCGATCAATACACCAATTTAGCTTCCCCACTAAATTAGGCTGATAAGCTGAAATGGTTTGTAGGTGTGGGACGTCCATAATGGAACACTGCACGCGTTGCATTATTGGATGTCACAGACACATCCACCAATTCAACTTGTTAAATTTAGCGGAGAAACTGAATTGTTGTGTAGGTTTGCGACGACCCATAATGCCACAGAGCGCGCGTTGCATTCCTGTGACGTCACAGGCCACGGCTTCATGAAATCCGGAGCAACTAGCCAAAGAACGTTTCACGTTAGAACATTTTGCTTTTCTTAAGAAGGCATTGATAGCTAAAAGTGTCCTTACACAAAATTATGTTTCATTGGGATATCGTACGTTTGTTTCAGATGGTGAAGAGATGCCAGGAACGACGGCTTTGCCAACGCTTGTCCCCACGACAAGAAAAACTACAGAAGAGACTCCTCTTCCAAGTCCTGGTGTTACAGAAGAGCCGGTGACCGGTCCGTCTACGGTTGGACCTAGTGAACCTACTAGGGAAGCTGAGACTCGGACTACGCTGGTAACAACCGAAGCTCCGTCCACTAAAGTATCGGATAGGACAACTGGTGCCACGACAGAACCAACGGAAAAGACGACTGGACCCGAAGAGGCTACAACTGAGCTCGAAACAGAAGGTAGGAAGAAGGAGCTCACTACTTCTGCGGTTCCAGAGGGTACAACAGGAACGCCTACGGTGCCAACAACTCCAACTGAAACGAGAGAAACGTCAGAAACAACAACAGGCCCGTCAGTTACCACAGCCGAAGTCACTTCACCTTTGTCAACAGAGGCTTCAGGCGCCACTACTGCAAGGCCGACAGATCTAACTCCAGCTTCATCAACGGCACCTTCAGAAGGTACCCCTTCGGTCGAAACAGCCGAAACAAAAGAGAGCACCACTTCGATAACAACACCACAGGGAACGGAAGGCACCACTGCTATGGCAACGACACCATCAGTACCAGCAAGCTCTACTGAAGGGGCAGTAACGGAAGAAGCTACTACACCTCTGTCAACCGGAGAGCCTGTGACGACTCCAGCTGTGACGCAAGAAACAAGTGAAGCTACCACGTCACCGACAACTGCCCTGCCTTCCGAAACTACATCAGCAGGAACTGAGGAAACAAAAGAGGCAACAACAGCCATATCGACCGAAACGCCAGGATCAACAACTCCATCCGTCACCAGTGAGCCGAAGGAAGCTTCTTCTCCGCCTTATAAGGCGTTGGATATGACTACCCTTGCCGTGACCGAAGAAACCACGATAGCTTCAACGGAACCATCAGCTAAGACCACCGAGGTTACTACTTCTTCAGAGGTTACTACTTCGCCGGGGGCATCAACGGAAGGAGCTACTCCTGAGGTGACCAGCAAAGAAGCAACTACTCCTACAGGAGAAACGACAACTTCTGGAATTACAACACCCGAGGTGACTACTCCAACAGGAGAAGTGACAACAGCCGGAGTTACAACTCCTGGAGTTACAACGCCCGAGGTGACTACTCCAACAGGAGAAGTGACAACAGCTGGAGTTACAACTCCTGGAGTTACAACGCCCGAGGTGACTACTCCAACAGGAGAAGTGACAACAGCTGGAGTTACAACTCCTGGAGTTACAACGCCCGAGGTGACTAGTCCAACAGGAGAAGTGACGACAGCTGGAGTTACAACTCCTGGAGTTACAACGCCCGAGGTGACTACTCCAACAGGAGAAGTGACAACAGCTGGAGTTACAACTCCTGGAGTTACAACGCCCGAGGTGACTACTCCAACAGGAGAAGTGACGACAGCTGGAGTTACAACTCCTGGAGTTACAACGCCCGAGGTGACTACTCCAACAGGAGAAGTTACCACAGCTGGAATTACAACGCCCGAAATGACTACCCCAACAGGAGAAGTGACGACGCCTGGAGTTACAGCTCCTGAGGTAACTACTCCAACAGAAGTGACAACTCCCGAGGTTACTGCCCCTACAGGAGAAGTGACAACTCTTGGAGTTACAACGCCCGAGGTGACTACTTCAACAGGAGAAGTAACAACTATTGGAGTTACAACGCCCGAGGTGACTACTTCAACAGGGGAAACTTCAGGAGTGACGACACCTGAAGTAACAACTCCTGGAGTGACAACTCCATCAGTTACTACATATGAGGTGACCTCTCCATCCATTGCAACATCTGCAGAGACAACTTCAGAAGGAACTTCACCTGCAGCTACAAGTCCTGGAGCCACATCTACTGAAGCGACAACTCCAGAAGTAACAACTCCTGCAGGAACAACCCCTGCCGTTTCAACTGCTGAAGGACCGACGTCTGAGGTAACGACTCATGGAGGAACAACTCCAGAGGTCACAACTCCCACAATAATAACTTCTTCAGAAACAACCTCTGAGATATCGACTTCAGAAGTAACGACCCCTGAAGGAGCGACCTCACAAGTGACAACTTCCGAAGTAACAACGCCGGGGGCGACAACTCCAGCAGTTACAACTCCAATAACAACACCTGCCATATCAACACCCGAAGTAACGACTCCTGAAGGAGTGACGTCTTCAGTAACGACTCCAGAAGGAGTAACTCCTGAAGTAACAACCCCTGCTGGAACTACTCTGGAAGTGTCCACTCCAGAAGCAGCTAGCACTCCTGAAGGAAGTACTCCAGTAACTCAAGCATCTGCCACTACTCCAGAAGTAACTACGCCAGAAGCTACATCCCCATTAGTAAGCACGCCTGAAGCAACAACTCCACCAGTAACTGGAACCACAATAGAAAGTAGTACAGTCACTCCATATGCAGCTTCTGAGACAACAGCAGAGGGAACAGAAATAACAAAAGAAGTATCCACACCATCCGCAACTATGGCCACTGAACCAAGTACTCCTTCAGAGACAAAGGTGTCCGAAGAAGTTACCACGCCATTGTCAACAACTTCTGGTAAACCAGAAGTAACGGATGAAACTAAACCAACCACTGTACCTTCATCGACACCAGAAGCAACAACCGCCAGTTTGATTACCACAGCAGTTACTGAGGCCGAAGAACTCACCACTCCTCCATCCACAAAAATTTCGGAAATGACAACTCCAGCCGAAGCAACAACTAAGGAAATCACTACCGTACCAACAACGAAGGCAGATATGACAACACCAGAAACAACGGAGGGAACAACCGAAGTTCCCACTGCTTCGTCCACGGAAACCCACGCCACGACATCAGCTGAAACGGAAGAGACAAAAGAAACAACAGTGGCTTCGACGCCGGTCACTTCCGAAGCCACATCTCCTACAGGAACTGAGCCCACAGCGTCGTCAGCCACAACGCCCTCTGAAGCAACAACTCCTTCGGCACCAACCACGATAGAGGAGGCTACTACGATTCCGTCTACGAAGGTTACGGAAATTTCAACTCCCGTGGAGACGGCTGAAACGACAGAAGCTACACCAGCAACTAGCACAACGACCTCGGAAGCTACAACATCAGCAGAAACTACATCACCAGGGGTTACAAAAGAAACGGAAGTTCCTACAACTGTTTCATCTACCGAGCCAACAGAAGGAGCCGATGCAAGAAAAGCGCCTACCAAGACTCCTGCGGTAACCGAGCTAACATCGGAGGGAACTACAGTCCCATCCACTATGGGTCCTGAAGTAACCTCGACATTAGAAACCGCAGAAACAAGTCCAGCCACAACAGGTCCGTCAACTATGGGCACTGAGGCGTCTACATCCACTGAGAAGGCTGAAACCACAGAAGCTTCTTCGCCGGCAACAGCAACTCCGGGAGTCACCACGCCAGCGGTTAGTGCCCCAACGACTGAGGCTCCAGAGGTCACAAGTGAATACCCGTCAGGTACGATCAGAGGTCCACTCACGAGCGCATACGTTGCAGTCGCTGACGGAACGTGTAGATTCACCAGAGTTGTTCAGGCCTTATTTTAATCACGAGTCTGCCCGTATATCGTACTCCCATCATGCATAACCCCAGTTTACACTCTAAAAAAGTCCAGTACGTCTACTTTTTAAAAATGCACACGGAAAAACCAATCACAACGCGAGACGTGTTTTTTTCTTGTATTTTTTTAGATTGAATCACATGTTTAGTTTTGTTATTCGACAAGCTCCCGTCATAGATTCACAAAAGTGACCCTCCCAAGTGCTTTGTGGCAACGTAGACGCACCAGATTTCTTTAAGTGTAGATCCACTCTGATTGGAGTAGGTCTATCTTTGGACTCAGTGAGAGTATTCGTAAATACGTATATTATGCGAAATACACTGTACAGGATTCTCCCATGCTTTGTTTCTTCTACCCATAATGGTCACTTATGTTCGTCTCCGCCTCTGGATTTCAATTGCTCCTGAGAAAATGCATGCCGTGGAGTGTTGCACAGCCTGTTGTTATTTACTTGAGCATTTCCGTCGGCTTCTGTGCAGGGTGCGATATCAACGGCACCATGTACGCTGATGGAGAACATGTTCCGGACGACAATCCTTGCTTGTTCTGTAATTGCTTGGAAGGAGAGGCTATCTGTGCTGAAAGAGTCTGCCAGGCTCCTGATGGTGATTGCAAGCCTCTCCCCAAACAGCCTGGGCAATGCTGCGAGGAATACGACTGCGGTAGGTCAAAACGAACAGGCGGCGATTTAATATGTTATCCAAAAGCCTAAGCTGATGACTTTTTTCCCTAATATTTCAGAAGGAATCACTACACCAGCCACTGTCACAATGACGTCGTCCGTTAAGCCGGACGTAAGTGTAACCACGGCACCGAGCGCGACAACTGCTGCTGCACCTACAACTCCAGAAGAAAGCGAGGAGGAAAGCGAAGAAAAACTAGGTATTCAACTGCTTCCTACCACCTAAATCAATACTTTATATTTCGCATTACTAACTGAAAAAGCTAAGTACGGCGCCGAAAAGAAAAGCGAAAAAGCAACGAATTAAATTGTATTTGTTCTTAATCTTGTTTCATCTTGACTCTCACATTTATATATTTGCAAACTGTTTGATATATAACTGCACATCAAAGAAGAACCAGCACTTGAGATATTAAGATATCATAAACTTGTGACTGGGTAACAGAGTGAAATAAGCAGAAATGCATTGTCTCAAGAAATTATCAGTTATAAACTTCTCTTTTTGGTATCCCATTATTTTTAACAATAATGCTTTTTAGAATATTGCATTTCTGAGCCACTCTGTAAATAATTTAGACAAGGGCGGACAATGTCCTACACGAAATATTTCTTGTTTTCCTCAGTCTCCTATTAAAACACTCTCTTTGCATTATTATTAGTAATCTGGGCATGTGTGCCATCTTTTCCTTTCACCTTTTACAGGATGCGACGTGAAAGGAACTAAAATCGAAGAGGGTGAAGTCATCCAGACAGCGGACCCCTGTAAGTTCTGCAAATGTGCCTATGGGGAAATGGTCTGCGCAGAGCGTATATGCGACATTCCACAACCTGACTGCGTGCCTGTTGGGAAGAAGCCCGAGCAATGCTGCGCTGAAGCCTACAAGTGCCGTGAGTACCAGTTGTGAACCTCTAGTGTTTCAGAAGGTCGTGTGGATTGCTTGCTCATTCCATAGATAAGGTACTCCTCCTACGACCTTGTCTAGATAGGGGATTTTTCATTGCACTCCTGTGTCGTTACACATCTTAGAAGTTTCGCAGATAAACCATGGAGGAGTTGTATGAGTGCGGACTTGGTAGCAGCTACGTAAGCGTTCTAAATACTTTACATTCGAAAAATTGAAAATGTGTTCACCAAAGCAAACGTTTTATATTTAACGTTCCATAGGCTGTACGGTGGGACTGGTAATTCTAATTTCTTTTTTTTTAAATAAATTGTTATAAGAAAAAAAATTCAAATAAACGGGTGAGGAATGACAAACGTTGAAAACTTTACAACACTTAAGAGCATCCCAGACCGATTATGACGTTTTTGTCTTATTTTAATTGATAAGTGTCAAGAGCAAGGATATACCAGCGCTTGTTGCAGTCGGGGACAATTAAGTATAAACCGCATGTAAGCGATTTGGCAAACGACGGGTAAGCGACGGCGACCGCTTCGCTGCCGCTCGGTCACTCGCGCGACGTGGCAAACTGCATGAAAGTGACTGAGCGAGCGACCAGGGCGGTGAGCGACGTTTCCTGGAAATCCAAAAACCGAGCAACGCCACGAGCGCTAGTGAGAAGTCTCCGTCATTCGTTGCGCTGACTCTCGTCGCTGTCACCGTCGCTCGTCTCGTCGCTCGCTAAATCGCTTACATGCGGTTCAGCCTTTATTGTGATGCAAATCGAAATCTTCTCGTATAATTCGCCAGGGGGAAGATCCAAGAAAATAAGCATATCACGCAAGTGTTAGACATACACCCCCGAGACTTGTCTCATATTCACACACATCTTTAGTACTATATGTCATAGAAAGCCTTTTAGGGTTTAATGTATAATCACATTTCCGCTCACGCAGCTACCGAGGATGGAAGAGAAGAAATGGTCACGTTCAAACCTCCAATCTACAAGTTCACAACTGTCGCTCCTACCACTGTGGGTGTTATCCTAGGAGAAAATGTCACGACTACGCCGGTACCGCCACAAACAGTTACTCCGTTCGTCTTCGGACTTGAAACTAAGCCTCCCGCGACTCAACCGCCCGTAAAAGACCTCGCAACTGGAGAGCCCGACCTCACCACTCCTCTATTCACTACGCTCAAGCCCACCATTGAAACCACGAAGCCTTCGGTGACAACCGCCGTTCCAGAAACGGGAGCCACAGAAACAGTCAAGTCCGAAGTTACCTCATCTCCAGTAACGACTGAAGCCTTCACCGCAGTGCCTACCACGAAACCAACGCTGCCTCCAGGAGCTGAAACCCCATCAGCCGAAACTGAAGTGCCAGGGATAACCACCGAAGGTGTATTACCCACAACTAAAGCACCCGAGGCGGAAGCAACTAGTCAGCCGGCCGAACCCACTAGTCCTGCTGCCGAGACCCCGGGAGTCACGACCGAAGCGAGGACTGGAGTTCCCACTAGTCAGGAAACGACCGAAAGTGGAGCAACAGAGGCGCCATCTGCAACTACGGGTCTTCCAGGCGTACCGGGAGAGTCCAGGACACCGCTCGTTCATTACACGACGACAACGGAGGCCTCGACGTTAGAACTCACGACGGGAACGCGAGTGGCTCTCGAAGAGACTACTCCCAGTCCAGAGAAGACGGTGCCCCCGTCGAATGCCACCACGCAACCGCCCGAGGGAGTCGAGGGCAGGAAAGATGTCCCAAGCAGAACAGAAGTGCCGTCAGCGACAGAGACGCCTTCCATGCTGACGACAATTATTGAGTTCTTCACTGGAAGCACCCCAGCTACGGAGGAAGTCAGACCGAACGTGACGACAGTTCCATCTGTTTTCAACGAAACGACACCCGCTGTTAGTAGTACAGAGGTCTCACCCGAGGAAGCGGTAACCACAGCGGCTCCGGAAGTTGCGTCGGGCCCAACTTCTACGGAAGCCTCAGCGGCCCCGACAACGCCCTCTGTTGAATTGGCGACTACAGAGAAAGAAGCCGTCCCCGAAACGACGCCGCACGCACTGGTCACCACAGCAACAAAGCCGACGGAGGTAACTACAACGCCTTACACGGTGCCTGAAACGACACCGGCTAAACCTGAGGCAGAAACGACTCCAGCGGGACCGGAGCTTCCGAGGGAAGAGGAGGTTACAACTACATCAATACCTGTGACTCACGGCAAGTCCCTCTCATATAGTATTATTTTTTGTATAAAAGACTAATTACTACGAAGTCCCAGATGCTCGCTTAGATTGCATGGCATCTTATTTGTTAAGAAGGCAGCAATACAACAATTATTTATGTCAGCTCATTCAGCCGGGAAACGTGACAAAATCATGGTAATTTGCGTTCAAATGTGAGTGCCGATTTTTTTTCTTTAAAAAAGGTGGCTTCGTTGGGTTAAGACGGGCATTCTTAATACCTTCTCATCAGTATTTAAATATCGGTACTTTTAGTGCCGACAAATGATCGCCGTTGATTTTTTTTTTTTTTTTTTCTTACGGCTGGTTCCCAGAACACCGTTCTCTCATGTTACGAGGCTTAAGTATGTTTACGTCGATATACGACTGGAAGTCGTCGAAACATCCGCGCTTCGCAAGAAAGGTAATTAGTTAAAGGAGTAGCTTGGTACGCGGAATACGAAGCACGGATGTGCCGGTGACTTTCAGTCGTATCTCCACATAACCGTACGCAAGCTTCGTAATATAACGAAAACGATGCTGTGTGAACCATCCTTTAGATTCAAAAGACTGTCATCAAAACTTCTAGCGTGGTGGGAAGTGCTCATTTGGGGCACGAAATGTCAGTGTGCATACACGCTATTTACCTGACGTATATAATGTGCAAAGTACGACGCACTAATACGCAGTTTGATAACTTTTCGTATTGAAACTTACAGGTAGTTTATGGAGGCGCAAAAACTAGAACCGGGAATAGGTGAAGTTAACTATAAAATCATGCGGAATGTAAAACCTTCTTAATATTGCTGTACGCCTGGAGCTGTTCCCCGCATTAAACGTAATTCCCCGATCAGCACAAAAATATAAAAGACAAACGAACATATAAGCTAGTAATTACGCAATCATTATTACTGCATGCGATGTTCGCCGTGCTTGGGAAAAACGCTGCTTAAAAATAATGGGGTATCTGCCTAAACGCCAAGGGCCGCCGTTAAACGCCACAGCGAGCGACCATAAGACTATGATGTTGCGTTTTTATTTGGTATTTAATTTTTTTTTTCCTATAATATTTTGTTTTACTTCCAGAACCCGAGCAAACAACGACGGAAGAAGGTACTGAAGGGCCCATCATAATAGAGGAAGGATGTAAGTTTCGCCAGCTTTTATGAATAAGTATTTTTATGGCTGCTCATCAAACTCGCCTTTTTTGTAGAACTTAGTTATCTTAACTACGAGCGGTGATTAAAAAAGGAAAGTTACGCTAGTTTCGTTGGACGTAATATAGTGGGTCATAAGACGCGTCGTGTAGATGATAATGGTTTAACGTCAGCCGTAAGGTTCATGGGCTAGTTATGCCATAACATAGATTCTCTATAAGACTGAAATATTTCAGCCCAACAGGTCCATGGTGTTATGTCTCTATACGGCTCTAACACCAGACATCGTAGTATCGATAGCTCTTGGGGATTGCTTAGACAAAATAATCAAAGGGTTAATAATTACGAAATAGTTTCCTCCTACCATCTTAACCAACCATCGCAAACGAGTATCTGCACAAGTCAAACGTTACGTAAAATTCTTGATGGAAAAATTGACCACAACTCAAGTGAGTGGAAATACCAACAGGTCTCGGCCGAAAAATGTCACAATATATAGTGGGCGATAGGATATTTTTTTTAAATTTGTAGGTACGGTTTTTTCAGCTAAACACTGACAGATTCTTGTATGTCTTTCGCAGCTTGCATATTTGATGCCAAGGTGTACCAGTCGGCAGAACAGATCCCTCGGCCGGACCCGTGCGACTTCTGCTTCTGCTTCCGCGGCGACATCATCTGCTTGCAGCAGACCTGTCCTCCGCCCATTCCACAGTGCTTCGAGACTCCGATCAGCGGTTTCTGTTGTCCGAGATACGAATGCCGTGAGTCTTCGAACATTCTTAACCTGAGACAGGGAGCAGCATAAAATGAAACGCACTTACTTTGCCCGACGAAAATAATCCCTGGAGAAAGGGAACAAAAGGAACAAGGGACAAACATAAATCTCCAAACACTAAACGCAAATTATAATAATTACTTTGCCTGCTGTTCTTCAATATCCGAACTAGGTTTCAAAGATGTTAAATTGATATTAGTGTGCCTATAATCGCCTTGCATAGCGCACGCTATAAGCCGTCTTTGTAACTACTGAACACACACCTAATGTCGGCAGGTAAACAGCTGGGAACGTCTGCTGTACAACTAGAAAACAAGGTTGAGCTTTAAATAACACTGAAGTTTAGATATAATGCATGGCCAATATTCAGTCATTGAATCACTTTTAAACTCGGTTTTCTTGCATCATTCATGGATCTGGTTTCGTTGCTGACGAGAAAAACATTATTAATGGGTGTATTAATTTTTTTTATTCTATAAATACTTTATCGAAAGTATTAGAAGTATAAATAGTAATGTTGTAATACCCTTTACCTAATTGTTTTGTGTGCTTTCACAGAATAACGAAAACTTCCCCGTTGTTATCACGCTCAGAAGATTTTTTCCTATGCATCGGCTGAATGAAAGAAGACGTGAACCTTAATTAATGTAATACATATCTCATATGACGTCTTGTCAAACAATCGTTTTTATCAGAATTTGTTATACAGGCCTATTAAAAATTAATAGTGGATCACATACGGACTGGTGGGAAATAAGCGCCAAAAGAACAGGGACAAAGAGTAGAACAACAACGACACAGGGCGCACTCTCAACTGAATTTATTATTTCGTTCTTATTCTACTCTTTGTCCCTGT